TTTCACCTTTTTATTTCTACATATCCTGTTATTGTACGAACTATATTCATGGACTGCCATATATATCAGTATATGGATTTGATTTTGTTGATTTTTAATTGAATTCTAAAATTCATTTGTCATAATATGATTTGGTCGTCAGATCTCCAAGAAACACACACCAATGGTGTTGAAAATGCAAAGAAGGTGAGGGGTTGGAAAATTAATAAATAGAAGAAAGTAACAGCACTGTTTATGTTTGTAATTTACTGATAAAAGCAAACATTTACAGAAAAGCTATTTCTATGGTATGGTATATGATCATCTCCAAACTTAAAAAATAGTACAACCCCTATCGTTGCTTGTAATCCTTGCTTGTCGCGGGTAAGAACACTCCATCGTCGCCATCAGCGTTGCTCTTGACTCAGTTCATCATAAACTTTTAGGTATGAAGAGATTTATAAAGACTGGCAAATGAAGCTTTGACTGAAAGAGCAGGCAATCACAAAGAGATATGAAGAGAAAGAAAGGGTAGTTAGGTCTTTTCGTAATAAGTTTCCATGTTCGCCTCAGCCTATCATAAAACTCCATTTATTCGGAAAATGAAAGTTTGACTCTATCTTTTTGGCCTTTGACCTACAAAATTTCATTTTTATGGAATTATCCCATATATATATATATATATATATATATATATATATATATATTATATATAAACAAAACAGAAATAAAAATTCATTTACATCATTAGGTAGCCACAAATACCATCACCATTACATTTCCTTTTTCTTTTGGCTGATCTCACTTCCTTCATTTATACAACAAAATATATATATATATATATACACACACACACACATATGTAATGCAATAAAATTAAACCAATAAATATCTCATTTATGGGTCCCACAAATACCCATTTCTATTTCCTTTTAATCTTTTATTTCGCTGGTACCTTGCTTGCTGCCACCATCAAATGTTACACAAACATAAAATATGTAACATAAAGATAAAATAAATAAAATAAAATAAGCTAAACTGCAAGTCTCCAATTTAAAATTAAATATTCAACACTAAAAATCATGAAATAAATATAAATTTAAAATCATAAAAATTTGGGTAATCACAATCTCCACCACTTAAAAAGAATTTCGTTCCCGAAATTCAGATGCAACAGTCTACATAGGCCCGAAAACACCAACAATCACAAAACTAAAATCCAAATCCTAACCCTAGGCGATGTGAGATACAGTGATATGTAGGACGTTGTGGTAGCTGTCAATGCTAATCACCCGTCCACACACTCCGTAACCGTTATGGTAGCCAGTCGATGCGTCACCTGCCCATTAAAAAAAACAAACAATATCAAATCTGGTCTACCTGCACAACTACACTAACCAACCATCTAAGTAACTGCTGGTGAACGCCATCCGCCCACACACACCCAGCTACGAGTGGTAGCTGATCAGTACTACACACTCGCCCACTCACACCCGTCTACATCATTACTACAATCACAATTCCGGCTGGGTACAACTCTGATACCATTTTGTCACTCCCCTAAAATTCAATCAAAATGCTCTGATACCATGTTGTCACGCCCCTAAAATTCTAACAAAATGCTCTGATACCATTTTGTTAGGACCCGAAAATTTCACTAAAATTCTTAATTTATTTAACTCAAAATTATCAAAATACACCTAGGGTTATAAAAATCCCCTCTTTTATACAAAGTCAATACAATTTCCTCAAACATACAGATAAATTATCCAATGGAATAAATAAAATCCTGCAACGCCGACTCTTCAGCCTAAGCCCGAATCTAGCAATCTCCATTCATCTTCAGTACCTGAAACGGGAAGGTGGTGAGACTAAAAGTCCCAGTAGGAAAAACCATAACAAGAATTTCATGGAGGTTTAACAAAACAGCTTCACAAAATAAACATATTCATGTAAGTATATAAACAAAATACATATGCATTTAATTAAAACATTTAATAAAAAATCATTGAAGCAAAACCACTCCAAGCCATTCAAGGTATAGAGAACCTTACACTGAAAAAAGGATTTCCTCACTGGATCATCAAGTCACCAAGCTCCGGCCACCTCTGTAACCTGGGCTCCTCTCTGCAACTTTCGTCTCTCCCTGTTCTCCTCAAACTCTCTGTTTTTCTCTCAGCTCATAGCTTGCTCTATCTGCAAACTCTCTAAATTTCTCTTCTATTTTGTATACCCACCAAGTCACAAGCACCCAATTTATAGACAAATTGTACCGACACAATCCCACCTTCAGCTCAAAACCCACGCGCATAAAGTAGCCTAAGTAAAAAAAATGGTCTACCAAAACTATATCATTTCTGTCAATACAATATCACACTCCAACCCACGTGAACAGTCGGCCAACCCTAATGAATTTTAACCACAACTCTCCTAGTCGACCCTACCAAAAGTCATCACAATTGTCCTTTCTCAGACCACTTTCTTATCTCTATCTTTATTATTATCATAACAAATCGGTCCACGTGAACAAAACCAAATCAAAAGAAAATTGGACCAAAAGGTCTTCAGTGGGCCCCGCCCCATTACTTCTCTTATTTCCTTCATTTTCTTCTTCTTTTACCAATTCTGCCGCCACTGCTGTCTTTCCTTCTCCATCATCACTATATATATATATATATATATATATATATATATATATATATATATATAACAAAACAAAAATAAAAATTCATTTACATCATTGGGTAGACCCCACAAATACCATCACCATTACATTTCCCTTTTCTTTTGGCTGACCTCACTTCCTTCATTTAGACAACAATACACACACACACACACACACATATAATGCAATAAAATTAAACCAATAAATATCTAATTTATTGGTCCCACAAATACCCATTTTTATTTCCTTTTAATCTTTTATTTCGCTGGTACCTTATGTACTGCCACCATCAAATGTTACACAAACATAAAAATAAAATAAATAAAATAAAATAAGCTAAACTGCAAGTCTCCAATTTAAAATTAAATATTCAATATTAAAAATCATGATATAAATATAAATTTAAAATCATAAAAATCTGGGTTACCACAGACTCTTGTGTGGTTGAGCTACCTAGGCCCAGATGATGTCATGGAGGTGCCATGTGGTCGGGGAAAGCTAGCCAACCCCTCCCTCGTGACGCCTTGGAGTTACCTTGGGTCGGATTGCACTAACGGTTTGGAAGTTGAAACGGTATTATTTCAGAAATGGGGCGCGACATTGCATGGCATGGCATTGCATTGGCAAACATTGTATATTTTGGTGGTTAGACGACTTACGCATGTATTTGTTGATATCACCATTGCTTTACTTGCTTTCTCCGAGGTATAATCCCATTTACTTGTATTCTATTCCTTGTATGGATTCATGGGGTTGTAAGAGGTGTGTTTTAGACAATTCCTACTGAGCGGTTGGCTCACCCCATTTTATTATTAACATTTTTCAAAATACGGAAGGGAAATGGTAGACGACGCTCCTCCATAGGTTTTAACGGGTTAGTGGACTGTTTTGACATATTTTGTATCTATGATCCCATTTTTGTTATTATTATTATTATTATTATTATTATTATGTATTGATAAAAGAAAGGACGGTAGTGCCCTTAGTTAACCTCGGGTTCGGATAAAGACCCGGTTAGTTATTCAGACTCTCAGGTTCGGGTCGTTACAGATAAATACAAAAGTTGTAAATGGCTATTAGGCCAGTTAAGGAAATACGTCAGCCGAGCTTAAGGTAAGAAGTTGGTAAAAATTAGCAACTTTTTAGCAATATTTTAGCGACTGGTTTTAACCCAATCAAGGAGAGTTTTTCGGCAAAGGCTTTTCAATTGAAGCAAAAAGGGAACGAGAAAATTCAGAGACGAGAAGGTAAAGTACACTGGGTTTTGATTCAATTTGAATTCTAAGGAGGAAGAATCAAGGTAGAGAGATATTTTAGCAAGAAATAAAGATAGATTAGTTGAGAAAGAATTCTGTAAATAGGAAAGTTGTGATACTACTCCAATTTGTCCAGCACCAACCACAAAATAGCATGAATCCAAAATTCATCAAATGACTCAACATCATCTTATCTTCAAATATTTTGTCCAAATGAAAATTTTCATTCAAAGAATATGAGTTCCAATAATTTATCATTCTTTTTGCAATGCTTAATTATGTTATTTACAATTTAGTCATTGTTTTATGAAAACGGATTCAAATGACACATCTTTGATCAAATTCATGTCACTTTAATTCAGCATATTCGATTCCATTACAAACATTACTTTTCAGTCTATTTTAATTTAGCCAGTTTACTTTTCAGTCCATTTCAATTCGCCTGAAGTCAACTATCGGAAAAAGGGATAGGCTAGTGTTCAATTCATACTTTTGAGTGTTTTATACAAATACTCTGGCACGCTCGCAAAAGTCCATCGACCGGCGTAAGATAAAAAAATAGCGCGTACAGAGTGACATTCAAAATTCAGAAGGGGTCTATTACAATTAATGTGCTTGTTGAAAAATAAAGACTCATTCTGATTATGCGATATTGTACAAAACACAGCATCTACAAAGTCTTTGCATGCATTGACCCTAATAAGACACAGTTATATAAAGTCAGTAAGCTAATGTCTTCAAATGCATTATATTGTGACACAGATTTAGAAAGTAACTCACCATGCCTAATACAACTGCAGTAGTTTGCAAAACTACAAATTGAAAAATGATAATGGAAGTGTTGATGTGATGGAAGTGGAATTATAATATTATTATACAAATGTTTACACATCAACTCAAAAATAGAAAAAAGTAAAAAAAATAATAATAATAATAAATAAATAAATAAAACTAAAAATAAAAAAAATCACAAAGACTTGCACTTGTCTACGTACCTATACACACATGCACTGGAGTCGCTAATTTCTCTTGAAACAAATATATTACAAACCTTCACTTCCGAAGGATTAATTTTTCACTAAGCCCACCTTCTTCTTAAATTAGTCACTCTCAATGCAATCGAAAGAACGATCCTTTCTATCATGTTCTCCAATAACTGGAAGTAGCAATGCCTCCACGACTTTTTTTATCAATATTGTACCAAAGACAACCCAAAATCCTACAACAAATCCAGGTCCCAAGCCGATATAGAACCATGCCATGTCAAGACCATTTTCATCGTCACTATCATCGAGATGTCCTCCATCTTGAGGTCGCACATCAAATATATCATCACCTGGACATTTGGTTAGAAGAGGGAGTCCACACAGTAGAGGGTTACCTTCATAAATCGATGAATCATCGAGTGTTTCGAGCTGATTTCTAGATGGAATTTTTCCTACCAAGTTGTTGTGAGACACGTTCAGGTGTGCCAAAAAAGTTAACGAAGACAAACTTTGAGGAATTGATCCTGATAGATTGTTATTTGAAACATCCAAGGTTTCCAAATATTGCAAATTCCCAATGTTGTCTGGTATCCATCCAGACAGATGATTCATTGAAAGATTTAAGGTACCAAGTGCAACAAAGCTTGTTATCTCTTCTGGAATTTCTCCAACTAGGCTGTTTGCTGAAAGATCAATGCTTTGGACATAGTTCATAGTTGTTCCATAAGTGAGCTCTTTTCCTTTTGCCACCACAACTATTTTCTCAATGTCGAGATCGAATTTGCTGCTATTACCATAAACTAGAGCTGTTATATTTCCCAAACAGCTAGGAATAACTCCGGAAATGTTGTTGTGTGCAAGATCTAGGATGTGAAGGTTCGTAAGATTGCACCATTGTCGAGGGATGACACTGCTGAATGAGTTAGATCGCAGGTGTAGAATTTGTAATGTAGAGGCATATTCTGCAATCCACAAAGGAATTTTTCCTGACAATTTGTTTCCTCCAAGATCAATAATGACCAGGCTGCATTTTTACAAAGATGAAGGAATTTTTCCATATAGCTCATTGTTGCTCAACATTAACTCCTGAAGAGAACTCAAGGAACCCAATGAGCTTGGAATTTCGCCCAGCAAGTTATTGTTTCCCATATCCAAAATGCATAGCGTTTGTGATGCATTCCAGCATTGAGGTAGCTCCCCAGATAATTGATTGGTCCTAAGTACAAGTGATCTTAAAGTTTCCATTCTGCATATTGATGATGGAATTGTACCACTAAGATGATTTTGAAACAGATGCAAAATTTGTAATTGCGGCATCAGTTCACCAATATTTGATATGGTTTATATACAGGTTTGCAAAGTCCTATTCCTTCTGAAAATAAAGGAAATTTTGTGCATAGGACTTGGAGGGAAAATTGGATAAAAAAGGAATTAAACTGAGTAAGGAAACTATAAACCTTTTGCAATCAGGGCTTCTGTAATTGTTCCGACATTTGGTACCGGTTCCCAAAAGACAGTAAAGAGTTCTTCGAATCGTAGCTTTTGGAACCGGTTCCCAGATCTTAGTACCAGTTCCCACTTAACAGAATCTAACTAGGGAAGCAAGTTGGGCAGTCCCAACATAATACCCAACCTCAACCCGAATTGGGTTGGGTTGGGCTAGCCCAAATTGTACCTAACATGGGTTATGGTCATAACCCAGCTCGAATATTTTGGGGCAGGAATTTTTTTTTCGGAAATTTATATATATATATTATATTTGATTATATTATTATTAAAAAACAAATTATATAGATATATATATTATATTTTATTATTTTTAGGGCAAATCATTTTAGCCTCCCCAATCACCTCTCTCTCTTTCTCTGCAGCTGTAAACTACAAAATCTACAAGAATCAGAACTTCAAAACCCATATATTTCAGTTTTATCTATCTGTTTGCAAGAATCAAAAGTTCAAAACCCATATCGACATATCATCAGATTGTTAAAAAAATCAAAACCCAGATCATTCAGTTTTCATCTCCCGTTGTTCCAATTCGGGTTCGCCGTTCACAAGCTTCAGCCGCTGTCTCTCAATTCTCAAGCCTACCCCCTCTCTCTCTGCGCAACTGCTAACTTAAATGTATAGGGACAGCGGTAGAGAGAGAAAAAGAAAGAAGAAAGAAAGATAGAAGAGAGAAAGGAGAAAAAAAAAATGAATTTTTATTTTTTATTTTGGGTTTTGGGTTGGGTTCAGGTTGAGCCCGAGCCCAACCCGAATATGTCTGGGTTTTGACAAAACCCAACCTGAACATGAGCCTAATTTGTGAACTTAAAGCCCAAATTTCAAAATTTTGGGTTAGGCTTGGGTTAGGCTGGGTTAGCCTGCCCAAGTTGCAGCCCTAAATCTAACTGGAACTTGGATTTTCTATATTTTGGTAACTATGAACATATACCTTGTAGGCAATTGTATCCTAAATGGGAAACGATGTCCTAATATGTTGTTTTTACCTTTTCAATGATCAACAGTACTTTTCTCTTTTGAACAAACTTCCAATTCCGTAGTCAATGTTAAGTCTGATATGGTAACTGATATTACAACTCGACTAGGACTTGTTTTGTTATTGAAATATGCCAATTATAAAAATATATCTCACAATCTCCCCCTTTGGCAATTTCATAACGAAACCCTAAAAACAATTAATAATCTACCCAAAGCATAAAGTAAATTACACGGTTTAATAAAAAACAGAATTTTGTATCTATGTTCTCTCTTTTTCTTTTGGAAAAAATCTCACCTGATTTCCTGCACATGTATCAAGTAAAACTACCAATGATAGCTTAATAACCAAATTAAAAATTCCCACTGAATAAATTATCAAAAAAAAAAAAAAAATTAATTTTCTCCCCCTTAATATAACCTTGTTTTTTTTGGAACAAATTGTCAAAGTAGTTGAAATAGGTTATTAAGAGTAGAAACAAAGAAAACAGTAAGTAGTTTATATATGTTAGCAGTCAAAAGATAATATTCAATAATATCAAGTCATAACAATATAAAAACTGAACAAAAAATGATGCATGAATGATATGAACATATAATCAAGCATCAAGATCATCTCCGGCGAATGAAACTTTAGACGTCGGAATCTTCTCATCACCATCATCAGTGTCACTCCCACTACTATCCTCATCATCCTCTACATCCTCATCCTCCTTATCTCTATCATCCTCAGGAACAAGTAACGGATCTAGAGGGGCTGGTCTGTAGATGTCCTCAGAAGTATTACTAGTTCTTTGTTCTTTGAGCAATCTAACTTCTTCTTGAAGATCAAGAACAGCATCCATCATAGCCTTTTGATTCTGAAGAATCAGTGAGTAGAGAAGATTAGCATCAAAGGTGTTGAAATTCCTCTTCATCGAAAAAAGCTTAGTAACCTCAGGAAGTGATGATGAAGAAGTAGCTGAACTCCTGCTAGCTTTCCTTGATGATGCTCTTGCAGATTTAGACTTGTTAAAAGCTCTAACATCCATCTCAAACATAATCTCAATATGATAAGCACGAGGTGAAAGTGGAATCTCAAAATACCGATACAAACCCATGATGATCATAGGGAATGGAGATGACTTCTTCTTTGTATTATTCTTGTAGTGGGCTACCATCAAATCATAGATAGAAGAATCATGTATCCGTGCATCAATAGATAGCAAATATAATACCTCTGCACGATCTGGGGAGATAACATCTTTCTTTCCAAAATAACCGAGATTGGAGATAGCAAACAAATTCAAAAACGTCACCTCATCTGTAAAATATCGATTTGGAATATAGTCGGGAAATCATGGTGAGTCTTGTGTCTAGAAAATTTTGGTTTGAAGCTCCGAAGTTCACTCGGTAATTTTATCGAACACTTGGCGTGCGCTTCAACACTTGTTCTTGGACAAGCTTGATTTGATTCTTCAAAACTCCCAAAGATCAAGCACAAAGCTTGAAACACAAATCAACAAAGTCTTCAATGTCACCAAAGCAATCCAAGATTCAATCTTAACCAAATCCTCCAAGTGTTCTTTCATAAACCTAAACCCAAACTCCACAAATTCTCTTCACCTTCTAATCTTCAATTCTCAAGTTCAATTGAATGATTCTATGTTATCTTGCAATAAAATGATTAGAATGATGCAAGATTAAGACAATATATATAATGCATATATGTGAGCAATATAGATAGAGAAAATGTATATATAGAGAGAGAATTTGAGTGTATGCGACAAGCCCAACAATGCCAAGGGTTACTTAATGCCAAAACCCGCTGCCAAGAACTGGTAGCCAAAGTGGGAACCGGTTCGCACTAGGTAATGAGCAAAAGTGGAATGTGAACCATTGTGGAACCAGTACCAAACTTGTGGTACCGGTAGCCAAGCTCCAGTATGCTTTAGCATTGCTCTTTTGCAACTTGAACCGGTAGGGGTCTTGGGGAACTGGTAGCACATGGACAGTATGCTTTCTAGACTTGAAATTTTTCAGAGAATTTTCAACTGACATTGTGATTCATTCAACGATCAAACTAGAACAAAATCTACAAACTAAAATAAAAAATCTTTTTGAATTTTTATATTTTTGAAATTTTTTTTTTAAAAACAAAACAAAATTAAGAACAAATCATTGAGCAGTCAATCAAAGTCATTTAAGTCATGCTTGATCCAAATTTTCAGAAAATTTTCAGTGATATCTATGAACGAAAATTTCAACTCCACAGAATATTCAATCAATTTCAATTTTCAGGAAATAATCACAACACAAATTTTAACTTGCAAATCTTAAAGAAACATTTAGAAATCAATCTAGCAAGTTCAAGTGTGTGTGCGCAATCCATCTCATCAATTTTCAATCAATTATCAATAAACATTGTCCAAAACATATTGATCGAAAAGTATCAAGATAAAATTGTCTTTGAGCAATTTTTCTAAGTAAGGTGGCTTTCACTCGAAAAAGTAGACAGTAATTTTCCAATTCAACTTGTCTCCACCTTTCTTTTTACTCATTTAGCTCCTCTTCAAAGTTTAATGGGAGCTTTCGAACACATCTGAATAGGTAGCATTTTCCTAAACAAAGAATTCAGTAATTTTCACATTTTTTTTTTTTTTCAAGCAGAATTTATTCATTTTTTTTTTTTTTTTTAAACAATAACCATTATAGCTTTTATGTTCAATATACCCTAGTCAACAATTCAAAGATTTTTAATCAAATTTTTTCAAAGTTAGACTAGTGCATAAAAGGTTATGAACTTAAGAGATTCAAATCTAGATATCCCTTAATCAATGCAAATCAACTTACATTGTATAAATTACAAACCAAGAATCTATTTTTAATAAAAAAAATCATGTGTCCAAATTTGCATCTTAAGATAAATCATAAATTCATTAGAAGAATTTTTTCAAATATATCGTGAAGACTATGATCAGAAACTCAAAACCATAAAGTGATCTAATAGTAACAAAATTTTCTTTTAAACACAAGCCATGATCACTGAATTTCATAGGACTCAGTTTGAAGGTGAAGTCCTTTTGGAAACTTGTTCTATGGACTCAACAGGCCCAAAATTGATCAAATCAGACTTTTTTATCCAAACAGTTCTCACTCTCATTTCCCGAAATTCTTTTTCTTTCTTTACCTCTTCCTTAGGCAAATTTTCAGCTCGGTGTCACATCATTTTTCTTTCTAGAATGCACCTTTTTCTTAGCATAAGAATTTTGAGAATGATTTTTAGAAAAATTTTTCTTTTTCTTATGAAGGCATGAGTTATACTTATGTCCATTCTTTCCACAAAAAGTGTAATACAACAATTTAGGCACATAAGACATATCAAAATGTGATGTATCAGGCAAACATGGTTTAGGCATAAAAACAGGTTTAACAAAAGTTGTTTTACCTTGATTACTAGAAGAACATTTAAGAAATCCTAACCCTATTTTATCATTCACATCCTTACCCATGTTGATTATCTTATTCAAACTGTTTTAACTTTTATTGAATTCTTTCAGCTTAACTTGTTCAGATTTCGACTCAAATTAATGATAATCAATTTTTAACACAAGATATTCCTTCAATTAGTTAACAATACTTACCTTATCCTCAAGAATGATGATCTGCTTCTCAAGCTCAGTGATAACAAAATCGTTTTCGACAGCTTTCCTTTTGCCTTCATCAATCTGTTTCTTTAGATCTTCATTCTCTCCTTTTGCTTGGATAATCTCTTTTGCTAGTTTATTGATTGCCTGTTTGACTTCAATGGTTTCTTTGACCATCTTCTTCAATCTTTCATCGTCTTTTTTAGCCTC